GTAACGTTATTTCCTTTGTAGGTAAGATCTTTGCGCACATATGTAAAATTATACAAGCGATTCTAATAATTATTAACAATCCTCGATTAAGACTAAAATCACATCCATTGTTGCAAGACGCGGGTCTGATTAATAATCCCTTTTGGCCGTCCGCGGTTCTTGTTAGTACATTCCATGTTTCTATCAGATGAACTGTGAGTGGCCAAAGCGGACCATTAACTTGTATTAATTTTGGTTGCCAATCATAAACATGATAACAATATTGAAGTTCTTCATATATTTCTTATCAATAGCTTCCTTGACAAGATTTGATTTTTTCATGAAAATCACAATCACTTGAAAGAATTAGATCAAATCTTATTAGTGGAATAATGTCTTTTAAGAGAGTTTTCAATGATATTTTCTTCAACTCGATTACTTTTTTCCTTTTCACTCCCCATTGAATAATATGATCTCAAATTTTATTTTCATTTTCTATTTTTAGATCTTTTTTCCAATATTGACATAATCATCAGAATTAAAAAAAATAGAGATTTTCACAAATAATTCTTTACAATAGTGATATTTTATAAAAGCATAAATTTCATGGAATCCATTATTTTTCTTTAATAAATTTGTCGCCCATTTTTAATGGCATTGTAGTTCTTCAATTAATTCATCAAAATATGACTCATCACATGTTTAAGCAGTTCAGATTTCATCTGGCTGGATTATTGATATTAATATTTTTGCTTTAGATATAAATTTATAAATAATAAATTTTTTTAATTTCAAATACATGTATTTTTTTCAAATATAATAATAATAATCCTTACTTTTAAATTATATAATGGGGCTTTAAAAATTTTAACATTCTCCCACCTTAATTTCAACATCATAATAATCTGATTCATTCAACAAATTTTACTTGTGCGTTTAATTGTAGAGCATTATTAATTTATTAATATTATTATGTTAACGTTATCTAAGGATGAAAAATATATTAATATAGTGTGCCCATGATGGGCACTATCGGGAACTATTGGCACCATGCCAGACACTAGTGCCATTGCCCAAGTGCCCGTCTTTTTTTTTTATTTGGAAATCAATGTTTCTGGATATTTTTATAAGTGAGTTTGTGACATTTTTAGCAAATAAATTTATATTTTCGCAAAATGGGGAGATGAGTAGTTTGAATAGAACTCTTTTCTCTACTCTTTTTTCTTCACTATTGTATTAATATTGACGTGTTATATAACAAATCACTTCTAAATAAAATAACACTTTCAAATAAGACTTAACTTTTGCTACCTTTGCGTTTACTTTCCACCTTTGTGTTCGCATTTCACTATTGCGTTGGCTTTCTGATGGAAGATTTGACAACAATATATTCTGACGACTTTATTTCAAATATCTCTCAAGAGAATAATATAACAGAAACAATCAATAATACATATAGCATCAAAGAACATTGGATAGAGAATATTTGACAATGTCTGCACCCTCGAAAGAAACAATACTCGAACAATACTAGCAAATCACATTTAAAAAATCATGTGCGTTCATGGCTTAAAAGAAGTCAGAAAAATCAGGTACTCTTAACGATCTACCAGAAACAAATGGCAATACTTTAATAAATTGTACTTTTTAACCGAAATAAAATAATATTTCTTTGCTAGTTAATAGGTTCTACGACAGTCGCCATTGCCCCAATGCCCGTGTCCGTGCCTGTGTGCCCTAAATTTTTGTTAGCACGGGCATAGCTATTAAATGCGTGTAACGTTAAAATCTTCATTTTTTTTTTCAAAAAATCAATTAAAAAAATGTAAATACAATTATAATATAGTTTCATAAATTTATTTAAAAATAATTAAAATAATTAAAACATTTACTGCTGTTTTAGGGGTCGTTATGTACAACTTGTAATGGGACCTGCTGGTACTGGCAAGGTAAAAGAAAAGAAAAGAAATTATAGAAATTTAATTAATTAGTTGGTTATTTTGACACTTTTTTATTAAAAAAACAGTCCACATACTGTGCCACAATGTTATCGCACTGTCAAAATTTGGGACGTGTTGTCCATTTGATGAATCTTGATCCAGCAGCTGAGAAATTCGAGTATGAGCCTTCAATAGGTGAGAAGAAATCAAGTTTTTCTTTTATTAGGTTCATAAATTTAGATCATATGAGCAAATCTTCTTTATTTATATAATCTTTTTAATTAGATATTCGTGATTTGATTACATTGGAAGATGTCATGGAGGAATTACAATATGGTCCTAATGGGGGTCTAATATATTGTCTTGAGTATGTTTTTTTTTTTGTGTTTATATTATTCAGTTTTATTGTTTTCTGAGGGGCTATTATTAATTATGACTTGACACAGGTTTTTATTAAATAATTTGGATTGGCTAGAAGAAGAATTAGGCGATTATGAAGATGATTATTTAATTATAGATTGTCCAGGTTTTTTTATTTCCTTGTGAAATAATCATAAACTCACATAAATACACAAACAAAGTATATGTATGTATTTATTCATTTATTTATTCAAAAGGACAAATTGAACTTTATACACATTTTCCAATCATGAGAAGTATTTGTGATTGCCTACAAAGATTAGGTTTTCGAATTTGTGGTGTTTATTTATTGGAAAGCCAATTTATTGAAGACCATTCTAAATTTTTTGCTGGTGTCTTAAGTGCAATGTCAGCAATGATTAGTTTAGAAATACCTCATATTAATGTAATGTCAAAAATGGATCTTTTAGGAAAAGTTAAAAAAAAAGAATTGGAAAGGTATTTTATTTAAAAATATATGTTTTTCCCATATGTCTTTTTATTGATTTATTTCTTCAATCAAATAATTTAGATATTTTGATGCTGATCCTTTATTATTAGCAGAAAAAGCAAATGCTACTACAAATCCTAAATTTCATGATTTGAATAGTGCAATTGTAAAATTGGTAGATATATATTTTTATATTTTTATAATATTTTACAACAAGCTTTTTATTTATTTATTTATTTTATTATACAAAGATTGATGATTACAACATGGTTAATTTCATACCATTAAATATAAATGAAGAAGATTCAATTACACTAATACTGTCACATGTTGATAATGCATTACAATTTTTAGAAGATCAAGAACCAAAAGAACCAAGGGTAAAATATATTAATTGTAATTATTAACAAAAACATATATTGTATCTAAATATGAATATATTATTTTTTTTAAAAATATAGGATGAATATGAATATGAAGATGAATATGAATGAGATTATAAAACAAATGTAAATCAAATGTTTGCAAGAGATTACCTTTTAAATAAATGATTTATATTTATCATCATTTTTATTATCATTGATACATAATATATTATTTGAACATTTTTTGGATTTTTCACCCTATGTCTTTAACATCCCAATTATACACAGGGTCTGATTCATTTCATTGACAATAACTTCGTCAACAATCATTTCGTTGACACACATTTTGTTGATGGTTTATTTCATCAACAGTTCATTTCGTTGACAGTTCATTCATCGACAGTTCATTGCTCATTTCATTGACAGTTTATTTCATTGACAGTTCATTTCGTCGACAGTTCATATTAATATGATTTTAGCATAACATACACATTGGTTATAGGAATTATGATTTTGAAATTTAGATAAAAAGAAATTTTGGATACTAATTAAAACTGTCAGTGAAGTGTTTGTCGATGATGTAAACGCAACTGCTACAAAACTATACATGTTAACAAAATTAATTTGGATTTGACTCAATTCCCAAAAACACAATTTTCAATTGCATCTGACTCTATTATTTATATGACTCAATTAATTGCATCAAAAAGTCACCTGATCGAGTCAACCATTTCTATGTATATTAATATGGGCATGCTACTGGACAAAGTGAACATTTGTATTACCAAGGATTTCAGGTTCAAAATTTAGTAAACAGTTTTATATAATAATAATCCTTCCTTTTACTTTAGTATTAGTAATATATAGAACTACTCCTATATAAAAATAATAATATGAAACTCATTTACATCAGATCTACTATGGAACCCAAGAATTATAGTACCATCAGAAGTATTTTGAAGAAACTTATCTAAGAAAAGAAAGGATTACTTATGAAATTTACCAAGAAGAAAGAAAAATAATAAGCATAATAAAAGAAAGCAGAATGAAGATATGCTATTATCCAACAAAAAACAGAAATCTTTAGAAAGAAAATAAAATGCAATAAATCCTATTATTACATATTGGTCTTATTTTTTAGTAATATAATACTGAATATTAAAGTTATATCTACTATTCGTAGTCTAATAGAATTACCATCAAACTTTTCTTCTGTGTTCTTTGAAGTATTGTTTTTATATTTTGCTGAAGTCTTGATCTTTTGGGTCAGAAATATGGTTTTTAACATGTCGCTTTGAACATAGATCAAAATATATTTGCACCAGGTCAAATTTATGTGGCAATGAGTCAAACCTGTAAACGTGATTCTTTATTTACTTCAATACAAAAGTCAAATACAATCTCAGAAGTCAAATTACTTCTTACAATTAATTAACAATCAGATAATTGCGTTTTTACTGGAGAAAAATAAATTTTAATTCGTTATCTTTATTATCTTAAAACTCTATTTATATCAATCACAATAATAAAAATAATAAAATGAAAAAATATTATTTGTAACTTTTATCCGTTATAAAACCCTTCGTGAAATCCGAGACATTCATTTTTTTTTGATTGAAGGTAGATAGAAAAGTGATAAATTAATGCAAAAGATTAAAAATTACTTTGTGTAAGATAATGATTTGTTTAGATTGTGTAAACTTGTCACATAAAAGAAACCAACAAGGAAATCATTTATTTATGAAATTCGAATTCAACTTCGATTTACATCGTTTCATCCAAATTTTGTCCTATTACTATATGTATAATTAAATGGAGAATGAAAAATCGGTTATAAAAAGAATTTTTCATTTGTATTCGATTATTATAAAATTTATATTTATTTATACGAAGTAAATATTTAAAAAAAAAAAAGTTTTCAACAGTAAATCCCTCTTAAGAAAATCGGCTTATAAAAGGTATCAGTAAAAAACATCAGTTTTTCATTTTATGTCTTGACCTTACTTGTTATCATCAGAAACAATATAATAATAAAAATATATACATTAAGGAATTAAACGAATTGAATAAATTACAGTGTGATTCAAAAAAAATGGTGGTTGCTTATTTTGAACCTGTTAAAAAAAATTACCATTTACTTATATGATAA